AGTGACAGTACACTCCATGCATTCACACATGCATTCACACATGCATTCACACATGCACACGTACACCCGTGCACGTACATGCGAGAAGCAGGGATGAGAGTGTGGCAGAGCGTATATGCCCGGCATGACCCGGCATGACCCGGCATGACGCCCACGAGGTTCCACAGCGCGCCATGAACACACCTGGTTCATTTTGAGGCGCCTCAAAATACACCTGGTTCATCCTGCACCCGAGTGACCATATGGAACGCTCCATTGCAACCCGTTACGTACGTGCGAGAAGCAGGGACGAGTGTGGCAGACTGGCAGTGTATATGCCCGGCATGACGCCCATGAGGTTCCACAATGCCACGAGCACACCTGGTTCATCAGGACTGGCAAGCATAAACGCACCCATAACATGCATACAAGTGTACATACGTGCGAGAAGCGGGCACGAGCGTAGCAGCGTATATGCCCGGCATCACACCCATGAGGTTCCACAACGCCACGAGCACCTGGTTCATCACGAACCCATCGTCTCCCCTCAGGTTCAGAAGCTTCTCTAGAAAGTACTGATCGCGGTACTGTGGGGGGGAGTGGAAAGGTGGGGGAAGGTGGGGGAAAGGGGGTGGGGGGAGGCGGGAGAGGAGAATGGGGCGGAAAGGAGGCGAAGCTTGAGCACCTGGTTCATCACGAAGCCATCGTCGCCCCTCAGATTCGAAGCTTCTCTAGAAAGTACTGATCGCGGTACTGCAGGGGGGGGGGGGGGGGGAGAGGGAAGGGGAGGGGGAGGGGGACGGGAGGGGGAGGGGCGAGGAGGCGGGAGAGGATAAGAAGAAAAGGGAAAAGGGTAGGGAACAAGGGCGATGGGGGAGATGGGGAGGGAGGCAAGTACACCTGGTTCATCACGAACCCATCGTCGGCCCTCAGGTTGGGAAGCTCCTGGCTACACCAACCACTGATAAGCTGCCACGTACTGGCGTCTGATGGGGCGCAAAAAACGCGGCATACGCGATCAGCCCCGCCCACAGGAGGAAGATCCCCGCAGTTGTCGCCTGCCCCAAAAGCTTCCCCTCATCCCCTTCCGCCGCCACCGCTCCCCCCGCTGCCGCTTCCCCCGCGGGCGGCTGCGGAGCCTCCGCCAGTTTATTTGCTTCCGCGCTTGCGCCTGCGCTTGATCCTTCCGCGGATCCTCCTGCTGGCGCTTTCGGCGGCTCCACGCTTGCGCTTACGCGCGGTAAGGCGCGGGTTAGGCGGAAAACGAGCTTCTGTGGGGAGCCTGGGCGCAAGGCTTGCGCCGGGGTGATGCGCGGAAGCGAAAAGGCGGGATTTGATAGGCGCGCGGGCGCATGGAACGCGGAGATTGGGGAAGTGGGAAGGGAAGCGACTGCATTGGGGACTGTTGCGAGTCTTAGTGAGGGGGAGAGGGCGTGAACGAGCATGATGGATGTGACTAAAACGAAATCAGGGCAATGGGAAAAGAACGGAGGGTGGGGGATGCGGAGATTTTCTTGCGAAGCGAACACTGGCGCTGCGGGAAGGAGCCACCTAAAGTGGATGGATGTCGCATAACGCGTGGGAGAGCTTCTAGAGGGGGGTGGGGGGGAAGTTATGAACAAGATGAGAGGAACGAGGTCACAACAATATGCTCAAAACCCCACCCGAACGTGCTGGAACAGAACTAAACCGTTTCAAAACTAGAACCAACCTCTTTCAACTTCTGGCGTCCTCTCAAGGTATCCTCGGCAACGACTGAAGCATTTCACAGCATAAATTTACAGCATAAAAAAACTGTCTTTCTGTTCTGTGATTACAGCTCTTTCCTAAGAAGTCAAATAGCAACATCTGGAATGCACTTATTCATTCTCCAAGCGATCAAAGTATGGTAATTCCAGTTCTGACAACCCTGCCAAACGGTGGTTCTAGTGAATTTAGATCGTCACTCGTAGCTAAGGGCGCGTAACTTTTTCCATTTTCGTCAAATGTCCGGACGGAGCCTCCAAACTGGCCGGACGGAGCTCCGTCCGGACGTTTGGGAAGCAGGTCCGGACGATAGGGCGTCCGGACCACAATTGTGCAACTTTTTCCCCTATCGAAAATGTAGAATCTCGCCACGAAAAATAACACGCATTACAGAAATCGTATAGCACTTGGAGATTTCGCCACCAAAATTTGACGGCATCCTATTGGTTGGAAAATCATTCAATTCGTGGCCGAATCACATCGCAGATAAAACGGACCGTCCGAAATGCCGTTCGGACGGAGTCAGCAGGTTAGTCCGGACCACTTTTTGGCAGAAAAGTGCCAGATTGAGTCCGGACGGTAGCGACGTCGCAGGGGGTCTTGCGAAAGTCTAAACAGACTGTTACGAAATTAGTTACCCTACAGAAGTTCGGACTGGGCCTCCGTCCGGACAATGAAAGGTGAAGAAGTTCATGGCACCCAGGTTCCTGGCCTGGCTGGGCAGTGGGCACTAAAGGGGCTGTCATACGGTAAGCCAGCATTCACTCGCTCTTCCCAGGACTAATGCATTCTGTGCCGCACAAGCTTCTCAGCCTGCTCTCATTACCAGCAACAGCCATAAGCTTTCAGAGCTCACATATCAACTGTCTGTAAACAATCTAAATAGAAATTAAACACATTTGAGATGATAATGTCGACAAATAGTTTGGAATGACAGGGTGAAATAATAAAAACGCTTCATGACAGCTTTCCTACCACAACATACACGTCATGAACCAAAACTTACATGCTGGCACCTGAAACAATCTCAATCAGCTCGCCAGTAATCTTGGCTTGCCTCCGCCTGTTGTAGGTCAGGTTCAGGCTCCTCTTCAGCTCCTTAGCGTTATCGCTGGCGTTACCCATGGCATTCATACGAGCAGCGAGCTCGCTGGCAAGCGACTCTTGCAGAGCACGGAGGATCTGGCTGTTCAGGTAAAGCGGGAGCAGAGCGTCGAGGATCTGCACAGGCTCCTGCTCAAACCCTAGCACGCCCGTGAACTCGGGGGTCTCGGTCCTGATCGTCTCGCGTTCGACGGCGAACTTGCCCTCCTTAGTCGTCAGCCTGAAGAGCTCGTCCTCAGCAGCGTCCACGCAAATGCCGTTGATGTCGCAGACCTCGCCGGCGGGGGAGAGAGGCAGCAGCGTGTGGACCACAGGGTCGGACTTGATCAGGGACACGAACTTGGTGTAGATCAGCTCGACCTTGTCAACCTCCTCCGACACGAACAGGGAGAAGATCTCGTCGGCGATGGCCTGGGCCTCCTTGGTGGTGGGAGCAGCGCCGACCTCGAGGTACCTGTCGACGGCGTACTGGGGACGCCTCTTGAAGAAGGCGTTACCCTTCTTGCCGATGGACACAATGGTGTAAGCCACACCCAGCTTCGTCAGCTCAGCCACGCGAGCCTCGGCCTTCTTGAGGACGTAGTTGTTAAAGCCACCGCAGAGACCGCGGTCGCCGGTGTTAACGACGATGGCGACCTTCTTCACGGGACGGACCTCGGTCAGGGGAATGTCAACGTCCTCGTTCTGGAGCTGCTCGTTAACGTTGTAAAGCACCTTAACGAGGTTTTCCGAGAAGGGACGGCCGTTGACGACGGCCTCCTGAGCCCTGCGCACCTTCGCGGCAGCGACAAGCTTCATCGCATCAGTAATCTTCTGGGTGTTCTTAACCGACTCGATACGGTCGCGCATCGCCTTCAGCGAGCAGGTGGTGCGGGGAGCACCCTCCGCGCCCTTAGTCTTAAGCTCCACATTGGAGTCAGCGTTCACCCGGCTGGAAGGCAGGCTACGGCTGGACAGACCCTCAAAAGAAGGGCACGCGAGCTTGGTGCTCCAGGACATAGCGGCGGCCATGGCGTCTTGGGAAAAGGTTCACAAGACAAGGAACCAGTCTAGCGAAGCTGGAAACAGCTTCTGAGTGCGGAATGGAGCTAGAGAGACTTGGGAGAGTTGAGAGAAAAATCAGAACCTTGGGAGGGAGGAGGTTCCAGGTGCAGAGCGGAACCCGCGGAAATGGCGCGCGGAATACAGTACTGCGCGGGGGATGCTCCTCGAGAAAACTGTTCTGGCGCGGCAGAAATCCCTAGGGTGCGCGGAGAACCGCGGGAAAGAGGGACGGCGGTGGCTAGGAAAAGGAAATCTCGAGGGAGTGGCGGAACGATGGCGCGGGACTTTTGGTATGGTATCTGTGATGGCTGGGATGTAAATGGCACAGATCTCACCGTCGATGTGCCAGGTGGAAACGAGTTGAACGGCTTTCGTGTGGTTTGCTCGTGCCACGTGGCATCGGAGATGCCCTAGTCGGATGGAAGCGTTATCCGGTGGGCTGCAGTTTGGTGGCTGCGGCGAAGAGATGGGAAATGCGCATGATGCGAGTGGTCCAGCGAAGCAGCTAGCTTTTCTGGCTACCACAAGCTGTCGCTAGCCAATCACGAGCTTTTCTGTCGCGAAAAATCGCTTGTGCAAATGACGGAACAGCGACGCCTTATAGCAGCCTGAAGCAATATGTACGTGGTTCATATTACGCTGTATATATTTTGCTTGACCCAATCATGTTTACATAGCAGGAGCATGTATGGTACAAGATTCCTCTGGATTGTGTCCTCTCAGCTGCTCCTGAGCATATATAGTTGCAACCTGTACATGTACAATAAAAATAGTGCATAATCCGCTATTAGTGCACAGCCTTAGCTGACATACATAATTAAATTAGCCCTAGTCATATTCATATTCTGTAGCTCATCCTCGTCCTCCACCGCCTCTGTATCTATCAGCCTCTCGCATCCGTTCTGCTTCACGTGCTGCTTTCATGGACGAATTTCCATCAGACTTGCTCCTCTGCTGTCCCACAAACCGGTAATTCTCCTCATCATCGCCTTCATTCAACTCACCCCTCCTACTAGCCCATGAATTTCCCTCACCAACGCCACCACCTCTGTGATTCCTGTTATTATTTACCCTGCAATTTCCCTTGCTATCAGGGCTATTTCCTGGGCTATTATGGGGGCTATTACCTGGGGATATGGGGGGAGAGCTCTGCAAGCGGCGCAGAGAACCCGCGCCGCCTGGGCTGGAGGAGAGGGGCGGCAGAAACGCCGGCACCTCGCTCCTTGTCTTCTTGTGCGCTGCATGTCTGGGCGGCGTGCTGTTTGCCTCAACCTGCAGAAGGGGGTGTGTGTAGCGGGCAGATGAAAGCGCACAAATGAGGGAAACAAACCCAAGCAGGATGGCTAAAGCTGTTTCTCTCTCCCCCTGTCGCTCTCTTTGTAGTCGACTCAAAAGCCACCTCTTCTCCTACTCCCCTCTTTCCTCACTCACCTCTCCACTTACTCTCGTCACTGGGAAGTCCACCCACTGACTACCCTCACCTGGGAGATCCACTTGTCCACTTGCGGGTTGTGTGCGCGTTCAATCCACATGCGCACGTCCTGCGCTGCCTTTTGCTAACAGCCTGCAGCGCTTAAACACTCGTCCTACTACTGCCTACACCTGGCAGCTCCACTGACTGCCCTCACCTGGGAGATCCATTTATCCACTTGGGCGTTGTGTGCGCGCTCGATCCACATCCTCAGGTCCTGTGCCGCTCTCTGCTCTGACCCCGTGCGCCTCTGCTGCTGCTGCAGCAACGGAGGCTCCATGCTCGTACTGCGCACTAACGGCCGAGATCCCTCCCCCCCACCCAGAGGTATCTCCCCTCCTCCTCTTCTCTCTCTTCCCTCCTCTCCTGCACCAGGCACTAACGGCCGAGAGCCCTCCCCTCCTGCTCGAGATCCCTCCCCTCCTCTCCTCTCTCTTCCATCTTGCCCCTCCCTCCCCTCTCTTCCCTCCTCGCCCCGCCCTCCCTTCTCCCCTTTCCACCGCTCTGCACCACTCTCTAATTGCCTCCTCCCCTCAGCTACCCGGCTTCCTCCTCCACTTCCACCTCTGTTGCTCCTCTCGCTCCCCTCACCACCTCTCGCCATTCCCTCTCTACCCTCTCTATTGTCCCTGCCCTCTCTATTGTCCCTGCCCTCTCTATTGTCCCTGCCCTCTCTATTGTCCCTGCCCTCTCTATTGTCCCTGCCCTCTCTATTGTCCCTGCCCTCTCTATTGTCCCTGCCCTCTCTATTGTCCCTGCCCTCTCTATTGTCCCTGCCCTCTCTATTGTCCCTGCCCTCTCTATTGTCCCTGCCCTCTCTATTGTCCCTGCCCTCTCTATTGTCCCTGCCCTCTCTATTGTCCCTGCCCTCTCTATTGTCCCTGCCCTCTCTATTGTCCCTGCCCTCTCTATTGTCCCTGCCCTCTCTATTGTCCCTCCTCTATTGTCCCTGCCCTCTTCCCTCCCATAACCCAAGAGCCAACTCTCTGTACCTCGGCCTACCCCTTGCCCTTTGTCCCCTTGTTCTCTCCCACTCCCAACACCATGCCCCACCGCTCGCCCCTCCTTAGAGTCACTCCTGCTAATGCCACTTCCGCTGCTGCTGGCATTACCACTCCCACCAGCACCAGCACCGCTGCCACCACTGGTAGTGCTACCACTCGTGGTGGTGGTGGTGTTGGCGGTGGCGGTGCCAGCTACAGGTGGTTTTGGGCTAAAACCAGGACTTCTTCCCCCTCCTCCTCCTCCTCCCCCCCTTCCTCCCCCTCCCCCTCCTCCCCCTCCCCCTCCCGTTCCTCCCCAGACCTCAAACCCCCCTGTGGGCCTTGGGGGGATCTTGATGGGCGATTTGCCCATTCCCAGCCGTCGATTCTGAGGCCCGGTTGATCCTGGCCCTTGATTACGCGACTCCTGATCTGAGCCGTTGGATGGAGTTCTTCTGTGTGGAGGCTTCATTGCTACTGCTACAGTACCTCTGCCGCTCCCCCCTTCCCCTCTTCCCCCTCCCGCTCCTCCCCCTTCCGCTCTACCCCCTCCCCCTCCTCCACCTTCCCCTCCTCCTCCCCCTCTTCCTCCCCCCCCTCCTCCCCCCCGCCCTTCCCCTCCGGACGCATCCCCCCTTCCCCTTCCCCCTGCCCCCCTCCCTCCTGGCCCCCCTACCCCACCTCCCCTTCCCACTGCTCCCCCCACCCCTGCTCCTCTCCCCCCTGACAGGCCTCCCCTTCCCCCTACTGCTGTTCCCCGCCCCCCACCCCCTCCTGCTGCCACCCTACCTCCCCCCTCAGCTCCCCTCCCCCTTCCTCCTCCTCCTCCCATCCCTCTCCCTCTCCCTCCCCCTCCTCCTCCTCCTCCTCCTCCTCCTCCTCCTCCTCCTCCTCCTCCTCCTCCTCCTCCTCCTCCTCCTCCTCCTCCTCCTCCTCCTCCTCCTCCTCCTCCTCCTCCTCCTCCTCCCCCCCCTCCCCCTCCCCCTCCCCCTCCCCCTACCCCACCTCCTCCTCCTCCCCCTACCCCTCCCCCTCCCCCTACCCCTCCCCCTCCTCCTCCTCCTCCTCCTCCTGCTGCTGCTCCTGCTTCTGCGGCTGCGGCTGCGGCTGCAGCTGTTGCCGCCGTAGGAGACTTAATTCTCTCCCACACCTCCTCTATCGAAAGTGCTGTGATACGAGCACCACCAGCATTTCCAGCACCAGCACTGGCACCACCAGCACCGGCACCAGCAGAACCGGCGGCAGCAGCAGCACTTGAAGCAGGAGCACCAAGAAGGGGGCGAGTGGGGGCAACAGCACTCGGACCCAAATTCCTACCCACGGCCATACCCCTCCCTTTGGACGTCAGCGCCGCTAGCGCAAACTCCCGAAGCATCCTCTCATCTTCTGTCTCTGGCCCTCCTCTCTCACTCCCCCCTCCCGCTCCCGCTCCCCCTCCTCCTCCTCCCCCTCCCGCATGCGCATACTCATGATCGTGTTTCTGCCCAGATGTAACAGGTCTTCTGTTCGCTCCACTATCAAAAGCTTTCCCGCTATTACTCTCCATCTTGCTATTATTCATCCTGCCACCCTCCCCTCCATCCAAACTGCTCCGTCTACCCCTCCTCCCATCCATCTCCTCCCTCTCCTCCTCCCACCCTTCCTTCCCCTCCCACACACTTTTCCCCACCCTGCCCTTCCCGTTCTCGCCTCTCATTCTCATCGCATCTACTCGACCCATCGTGCTGCTTCTTCTCGTCTCCTCCACCTCACCGCACCCCACCTCCCCGTAACCCTCTCCACCGCTCCCTCTCCTCCCGTGCCTCCCACCACCATCCCATCCCCTTTCTCCCACTCCCCCTGTTTCACGCTCCCTCCATGCATCTCTCTCTTCTCCCACTTGCCTATTCTCACTCGCCCCTGCTGTTCTTCTCCGCCTTGGTTCAGGAGCACCTACCATCTCCTCCTCTTCCTCCTCTTCCTCCCTCTCTCGCCCCCTCTCTCTTTCTTCCCCTCGCTTGCCTTCATTCCGCCTCCCCAACTCCCTTCCCTCATCCCACTCTCCATACCTCTCCTCAACATCACTCAGTCTCTCCGCAGCACTCCACCCATCCCCCTTCACCACCACACTCCCTGTATCAGACTCTTCTCCCAACTCTCTCTCACGCTCCCGCTCCAGTTCCCTTTCCCTATCTCTCACCCTCTCCCTTTCTATATCTCTCTCCCTCACTCTCTCCCTCTCCCTTCCCCCTTCCCTACCATTCTCCCTCCCTCTATCACCAATACCGCCCCCCTCCCCCCACCCTCCTTCTCCTCCACCCCTCCCCCACGACCGAACACTAGAAGGTGACCCCACACTCGACCCATCGTCACCGCTCTGCACCCCGCCATACCCACCCCGTGGGCTCGGCCTTCCCCAACCCTGTCCTTCAAGTGTGGACCGGCCGGGCCTGGGAGACTGCAGCGGCTCCCCTGTTCCCGGACCTCTTCTTTCCGAACCCGGCCGAGAGGTTTGCCCTCCAGCCGGTTTGGAAGAGGGGAACGGGGAAGCCTGCTGGTTTGGTGGACGTTTGGGGGAAGGGGGAGGGGCGTGACGAGTGGCAGCAGAAGCAGAGGCGGAATGGGGAGAGGAGTGAGGAGGGAGAGGGGGGTGGTGTTGCTGCTGGTGGGGGCTCCTTCTAGGCGAGGGTAGGGGCTGCTGCTGCTGCCGCCGCTGCTGATGTTGTTGCTGCTGTTGCTGGTGCTGGTGCTGGTGCTGGTTCTTCTGCTGCTGCTGCTGCTGCTGCTTCTGCTGTTGCTGCATGGGAGGGCTTTCGAGCATGGTATCCTGCTCTCCCTCAGACGAAACTTCAACTCTCAGGCCCTGTCCACTAGGCGCCCCTCCCCAAGCACCAAAGGACGGACTGGGAGCAAAACCCATTGGTTTCTGAGGCACCTCTACCATTGCTTCCTCCTCCTCCTCCTCCTCTTCCTCCTCCTCCTCCTCCTCCTCCTCCTCCTCCTCCTCCTCCTCCTCCTCCTCCTCCTCCTCCTCCTCCTCCTCCTCCTCCTCCTCCTCCTCCTCCTCTTCCTCCTCCTCCTCTTCCTCCTCCTCGTTTCCTCCTCTGAATGCATCAAGTGCAGATCCTTGGCCGCCTTGCCCCTCTTCCCACTCTCGCACGTCTCGCCCACCCCAAGCACCAAAGGACGGACTAGGACCGAACCCCACACCACCACCACCAACACCATGTTTCACACCTCCCCCACCTGAATACCCACCTGATTTTTCACCTGAATTTCCAGTGCGCCCGCCAACAACTGGGACGGTCGGAGGGAGCTTGCTTCCTCCTCTCCCTTCTCCCTTCCCTTCTCCCCTCTCACCTCTCCCGTCCCTCCCTTGATCTCTACCCTCCCCACCTGCCATCCCTCCCCTGATAGGACTCTTCCCTGCTCCTCTCCCCCCACTCCCTCTCCCCTCATCCCTTCTCTGCTGACCCCTCTGCTCCTGTTGCTGCTGCTGCTGTGGCCGCTGCTGTACTGCTCGCTCCTGCACTCCCCGCTCCTGCCGCTGCTTAAACGTCAGAGGAGACAGAGGCCTCTCCCCTCCATCATACCCCCTATAAGGGGATACCGCCCTTCCACCCCTCTCAGAACCCTTATAAAGAGGAGACACCGGGCCCTCATCCCCTTTATAAGCCATCTGAGGGGACAATGACCCCTCACTCCCCTCACACCCCTTCTCAGAAAAAGCTGCCCCCACCTCCTCACTAATCGACTCTCTCCTCCTCTTCACCATCCCCTCTCTTATCACTCTCTCTAGGTCCCGCGGCCGGATGGGCTTAGCTAAGTAATGGTCCATCCCAGCAGCCATGCACGAGTCTTTATCCTCGCTAAGAGCCGATGCGGTAAGCGCCACAATGAACGTCCGGCGCGGCCGGTGGGAGCGGCGGGTGCGAGAGCTGCTGCTGCTGTGGGGATGACTGGGAGAACTTGCTTCGCTCATATCACCGTCTGTGCTGCTACCGTAACCCCCCCTGCTGCCACTCCTCCCATACCCACCACCACCGCTGCTGCCCCTGCCACCACCGGCAGCAGCATAGGCAGCGAGTCTCTCCTCTTCCATAGCTCGTATGTTGCGGGTGGCTTCATACCCGTCCATCTCAGGCATGTGGCAGTCCTGGGAGAGGGGGGAGAGGGGCATTGATAGAAAGGAATTAGCCGCAGCAGCAGCAATGGCAGCAGCACCAGCACCAGCAGCAGAAGCAGCAGCAGCAAGGGCAGCAAGTCTCTCCTCTTCCATAGCTCGTATGTTGCGGGTGGCTTCATAACCGTCCATCTCAGGCATGTGGCAGTCCTGGAAGAGAGGTGGGGGGCAATGATAGAAAGGAATCAGCCGCAGCAGCAGCAATCACTCGCCTGCACGGCCAGCCGGCCATTCCTCTCCCATTCCACGGGCACTTGCTACAATCACTCCCCCATCACCTAACCCCCCCACCCCACTCACCACCTCCACCCACCATGAGCACCACGTCGTAGTGACTTTTGAGTCGACTCAAAAGTCACCCCCCCCCACCCCACTCACCACCTCCACCCACCATGAGCACCACGTCGTAGTGACTTTTGAGTCGACTCAAAAGTCACCCCCCCCCACCCCACTCACCACCTCCACCCACCATGAGCACCACGTCGTAGTGACTTTTGAGTCGACTCAAAAGTCACCCCCCCCCACCCCACTCACCACCTCCACCCACCATGAGCACCACGTCGTAGTGTCTGTCTGCACATGCCTGCACAGCAAGTCTCCCATTCTCCACCACGTCGTATTTGAGCCCCAGGTTGTGCAGCATGCGCGTCGCCACCATCTGGTTCACTTTGTTGTCCTGCAGTGAATTGGGAGGTGAGTTGAGGGGATGGGTGGAGAGGTGGGTTGCGAGGGAATGAGTCTCTCACAGCAAGTCTCCCATTCTCCACCACGTCGTATTTGAGCCCAGGTTGTGCAGCATTCGCGTCGCTACCATCTGATTCACCTTACTATTCTGGGGGGGTTAGGGGAAGTGAGGGGGGGTGCGCGGATGGGGAATGGGGGAAGGGAATGGGTGGTTTGCGGGAAAAGGGAAGTGAGCCTCTCTCACAGCAAGTCAGCCGGCCATTCTCCACCACGTCGTATTTGAGCCCCAGGTTGTGCAGCATGCGCGTCGCCACCATCTGATTCACCTTGTTGTCCTGGAGCGGGGTTGGGGCAGGAAGTTGAGCGGAGGGGATGGTGGGAGTGAGCTTTTCTCACCACAAACCAGTTGAGAGTAGGGGATGGGGAGGGAAGGAGTCTCTCTCTCACAGCCAGCCAGCCAGCCAGCCAGCCAGCCAGCCATTCTCCAATACGTCGTATTTGAGCCCCAGGTAGTCCTTTTTCACGGGCAACCGATTTTGCAATCACACAAAAATGCATACAAACCTCTAACCCCACCCCACCCCACCCCACCCACCAGCACTCCCCCTCACCTCTGCAGGCTGCCACCAGCATGCGCATGTGCTGCAGCTGCATGTGACAACAGATGCATGTAACCCAACTCATCCACCACACCCTATACAGTCATAACCCTTCTTAGTCACACCCCTCTCACCTCGGCCACCAGAACGCGCATGTGCTGCAGCTGCACCCACAGCGGCGCCGCATCGCTGCTCGCGGCAAACATGCCCCCCTTGTAATGTGACGACAAACCTTACAGCCACAACCCTACAGTACACTCGCAAACCATACAATCACGCCCCCCTCACCTCGGCCACCAGCACGCGCATGTGCTGCAGCTGCACCCACAGCGGCTCCGCGTCGCTGCTCGTGGCGCTCTCCCCTGCCGGCTTGGGGTCCTCCTTGGGGTTCACTCGCTGCATTCTCACGTAGAAGAAAAAGGTCGACCCCTCTCCCACCTGGAGGGGACAACAGGGGAGGAACAAACGATCATGTGTGAGCAGTGCAGTGCGGAGCGGATCATAGTGCCTGGCTTGGCTTGGTGCTCTCCTTGGGGTTCACCCGCTGCATCCTGGTAAATAGGGGGGATGAGGAGAAGGGAAGGAAGGGAGGGGGGAGTCGAGAGGGGTATGGTACACAACACGTATGCCTGCATGTCCACTCCAGATCCGGCTCCCCTCCTGTAGTGAGTCGATTTTTTAGTCCACTCAAAAATCGCTCCCCTCCTGTAGTGAGTCGATTTTTTAGTCGACTCAAAAATCGCTCCCCTCCTGTAGTGAGTCGATTTTTTAGTCGACTCAAAAATCGCTCCCCTCCTGTAGTGAGTCGATTTTTTAGTCGACTCAAAAATCGCTCCCCTCCTGTAGTGAGTCATTTTTTTAGTCCACTAAAAAATCGCTCCCCTCCTGTAGTGAGTCGATTTTTTAGTCGACTCAAAAATCGCTCCCCTCCCCCTCCCTCTCCCTCTCCGTCTCTCTCCCGCTCCCCCACTTACCCCTCCTCCTTTCACCACTCCCCCGCTCCCCCACGTATCCTTCCCCTTTTTACCACTCCCCCGCTCCTCCACTTATCCCTCCCACTTTTACCACTTTCCCTCTTCCCCCCTTCACCCTCCCCCCTCTCCTGGCTGTGCATGCCAATATCCCCCCCCATGCTCTTGCAAATCGCGAGTCCCAGCCCCGTGCCGCCGTATCTACGGCTCATGGAGTTGTCCGCCTGGGAGAACGCCTTGAACAGCCGCCCCTTGGCTGTTGAGTCTATACCCAGATGCTCTCAATCCCTCTCCCCCCCCCTCTTCCCCCCTCCCCCCTCACCTGGCTGTGCATGCCGAGATCTCCCCCTATGAGGAAGCACAAGCTCTTGCAGATTGCCAGTCCCAGCCCCTCATCCCCACTCCACCTTTCCTCCCTCTTTCTTCCCTCTCGCCCTTCTATAAAAAACTCCTCACCTGGCTGTGCATGCCGATATCCCCCCCCACTAGTGCTACCACCACCGTCTCAGCTTCTTCTCCCTCTCTCCCTCCCCCTACCCTTCCCCCACCCCTCCCCCTCCCCTCACCTGGCTGTGCATGCCGATATCCCCCCCCATGAGGAAGCACAGGCTCTTGCAAATCGCCAGCCCCAGCCCGGTGCCACCGTAGCGGCGGCTCGTGGAGTTATCAGCCTGGGAGAACGCCTTGAACAGCCTCCCTTTTGCTGCTTCGTCCATGCCCACTCCCGTGTCCCGCACCTCAAACCGCACCACCACCGTCTCCTCTGGCTTCCCTGCTGCCTCTGACTCTCCTGCTTCTCCTTTTCTTCTCACCACTCCCTTCTCACCCTTCCCTCCCGTTCCTCCTGAACCACCACCGCCGCCGCTTCCGGTCTTTCCTCCTCCTCCCCCTCCCTCACCTCCTCCTGCTCCTGCTCCTTCCTCAGCAGAGGTCAACAAGTTGCCAGCAGCACTGATCTCCCCCTTCTCCTTGCCTTCCCCCCGTTGCACACTCATGCACTTGCTGCTCTCCCTCCTCGCCTCCTCCACCTCCCCCAGCTCTACCTGCGTGGCCAGGCGCAGAATCACTGTGATGCCGCCACTGGGGAGGAGAGGAGGGAGAGGACAAGGAGCAAGCGAATGAGGTTCACTTCAGAAGCACCGGCCGCCGTGTCCCACCTACCTGAGGAGTGCTTGCCCTCAGTCAGTAGTAGTACGGGATACGGCGGTGGTAGGTCAGTCAGTCAGGAGTATGTGGGCGGAGTCCCACATACTAGCCCTTGATCACTCGGTCCTTATTCACACGCACTCACGTTTCGGTAAACTTGATGGAATTGGAGATCAGATTCAGCAGGACTTGCCGCAGCCTCACAGGGTCGCCCATCACCACCGCTGGCACCTGCAGGAATGGCGAATGAGTGGAAAGGAATGGAAGGGGATTAAACAAGTCAAGAGAGGGTAAAGGACGAAATGTGAGGTTCAGCAGGACTTGCCGCAGCCTCACAGGGTCGCCGATCACCACCGCTGGCACCTGCAGGAGGGAAAAGGGAATAGCACAGGAAATGGAATAGCACAGGAGAGAACGGGCGAAAACAAAGAGACGCGAGGGGACGGTAAAGGACGACTTTTGAGACGTCTCAATAGACTTTTTTGAGGATTCTCAAAAACCATACACGTCTCAAAAGACTTTTGAGACGTCTCAAGAGGGAACAGCACAGGAAACGGGAGGGGAGAGAATGGGCAGAAAACGAAGAGACGTGAGGGGAAGGTAAAGGACGTGATACGATGAACAGCTGCTAGTATAAACCCCTATCTATCTATCTATCTATCTATCTATCTATCTATCTATCTATCTATCTATCTATCTATCTATCTATCTATCTATCTATCTATCTATCTATCTATCTATCTATCTATCTATCTATCCTGCTGCTGTTGCGTGCGATGTTTCTTGAACCCAACAACTGCATGCTATGGCCCAGCTCTCTATGTGCGAGTGCGCGTGTGATGAGTCGGTTTTTGAGTCGACTCAAAAACAGCTGCTACTATAAACCCCTATCTATCTATCTATCCTGCTGCTGTTGCATGCGATGTTTCTTGAACCCAACAACTGCATGCTCTATGTGCAAGTGCGACTCACTACCCTCCAGCTCAAATCTTCTTGGATATCCCGTTCCGGCCAACAGCCACCACTGTTTCTCACCTCCTCATGGATATCCAGCTCCAGGAACAGCCCCTTGTCTCGGGCCACCACTTCCAGCAGTGCCAGAGCCTCCGTCACCTGCTGGTGCATGTTGAACTCGATGCTCTCCAGCGCCAGGTTCTTGCTCTCGATCTTGGAGAGGTCCAGCACGTCGGATATGATTCGCAGGAGATTGTCGCCTGATGATCGGATGATCTCGAGGTAGGAGCGCTGCTCTGCGGTCAAATCCGTTCCCAGGAGAAGCTCTGCCACGCCAATTACACCTGGGAATGGGGGAGGCAAGCAGAACAAGGAGGTGCATGTTGAATCCGATCTTGGAGAGGTCCAGCACGTCGGATATGATTCGCAGGAGGTTGTCCCCTGAAGAGCGGATGATTTCGAGGTAGGAGCGTTGCTCTGCTGTGAGGTCTGTTCCCAAGAGGAGCTCTGCCATCTCCGATCACACCTGGGGAAGGGTGGGGGACACAAGGGGAAAGGGAGAGGGGGGGGGGGGGGGGGGGGGGGGGGGGAGGAAAAGAGGAAGGTTTGAACCTGCTGGTGCATGTTGAACTCGATGCTCTCCAGCGCCAGGTTCTTGGACTCGATCTTGGAGAGGTCCAGCACGTTGGATATGATTCGCAGGAGATTGTCTCCGGACGAGCGGATGATTTCCAGGTAGGAGCGTTGTTCCGCTGTAAAATCCGTTCCCAGGAGGAGCTCTGCCACCCCAATCACACCTGCAGGAGGAGGGGTGGAGGGTGGGTGGGTGGGGAGGCAAGCAACAAGGAGCGCTGCTCTGCGGTCAGGTCTGTGCCCAGGAGGAGCTCTGCCACCCCGATCACACCTAGCAGGAGGGGTGGGGGGAGGGGGAGGAGGAGAGAGAAAGGAAGGAAAGGAGGAGGGGAGGGGATGAAGGGATGTGAGGTGGCTAGGGTGGCATGTTGAGCTCGAGGCTCTCCAGCGCCAGGTTCTTGGACTCGATCTTGGAGAGGTCTAGCACGTCGGATATGATTCGCAGGAGATTGTCTCCCGAAGAACGGATGATCTCCAAGTAGGAGCGCTGCTCTGCGGTCAGGTCTGTGCCTAGTAGCAGCTCTGCCACCCCGATCACACCTGGCGGAGAGGTGGGGATGGGGAAAGAGAGCAGCACGATGGGGATAGGAGCAGGAAGAGCGGATGATCCCGAGGTAGGAGCGCTGCTCTGCTGTGAGGTCCGTGCCTAGAAGAAGCTCTGCCACCCCGATCACACCTGGCAGGAGAGGTGGGGGGAAGGGGAGGAGGACAGAGGGGAAGTAGGGAAAGGAGGAGCGGTGGGGTTGAAGGGAAGGGAGGTGGCAACTGGTGTATGCTGAACTCTATGCTCCTGAGAGCTAAGTTCTTGGATTCGACTCAAAACATCACACGCTCAACATGCCTCCGGCTCACCATTCATGGGGGTGCGGATCTCGTGGCTCATGTTCGCCAGGAACTGGCTCTTGGCCTGGTTGGCCCGCTCTGCTGCCTCTTAGCCGCCTGTAGCTCCCTCGCCTGGCGCTTCATCTCTGACAGGTCGTGCCGCACAGCACAGCTTTGATGACTCGACTAAAAAATCAACTCACCGTTCATGGGGGTGCGGATCTCGTGGCTCATATTCGCCAGAAACTGGCTCTTGGCCTGATTCGCCCGCTCCGCCGCCTCTTTCGCTGCCTGCAGCTCCCGTGCCTGGCGCTTGATCTCTGATAAGTCGTGCCAGACGACCATGTGCATGGGGCGGTTGTGCTCGAGCTGCAGGAAGGAGAGAGTGACCTCCACGGGGAAGAGCGACCCGTCCTTGCGCATGTGCATCCACTCAAACCTGTATGAGAAGGGAGGTCGAGGGAGGGAAGGGGTGCGGGACAGAGAGGTTGGGGTCAGAATGCGAGAGACAGAAGATTCCCGACAGGTTGTGCCAGACGACCATGTGCATGGGGCGGTTGTGCTCGAGCTGAAGAAAGGAGAGAGTGACCTCCACGGGGAAGAGGGTGTTAGAATTAGGCTATCAACACTTTGTGTACTATATTCTATATCGCGTAGGTTATTTGCGGGTTGGGTGTAGTTTGTGATCCCAACCCTATCTGGTTGGGATTCCCTTGTAATCCTGCAAATCTGCCAACTCACCAATTGGAGATTTGCTAGGATTCCCATCCCATCTTTTCCCTAGCCTTGCCCATCCCAACCTCATTTGTACTTAAGGCCTAGTGCCTTCTTTCCTAATCAATCAGTTCAGTTCAAATTCTATCATGGTATCGAGCTAGCAAATTCCGCTCACGCGGAATCCGATCCTTGGCGTCGCGATCATTCTCTTCCTCTCGGCTATGGCGTTCTCGGTTCACGCCTTCTTCGCTTAGCGCTTTTTGTCTTCACATCGTCGCACTGGTCAAAAGCGCTTTCCCGCTCCGTCTACGTGCATTTCTGATTTCCACGGCGGCACATTTCTCCGTCAATTTCCTTCATCGTAAGCTCTGAAATTTCAATTTTCCGTGGCAATTTTCTCACATTCGAAACTTCCAGCAGGTTTTCATCGGTGCAGCAGAGCAGGTTCAGCGGCGCAGCAGAGCAGGTTCAGCGGCGCAGCAGCACAGGTCAGCGGCGCAGTAGCACAGGTCAGCGGCGCAGCGGAACAGGTCATCGGCGCAGTTGAAAAGGGGTCATCGGCGAAGCAGAGAAGCAGAATAGGAATCGCAATCTTATTGGCGAAATCGCACATTTCCGCATTTCGGACTTCGCTCCGCTTCGTATCGTTGACTTTAGCGCTGCGCTCCGCGCGAATGGCGACTTCAACTTCTACCCTAGTCGGAAACGTCATCATTCTCAACCTCGCCCCCAACGGCACGAGCACCAACTTTGGAGAATGGTGCTATGGGGTGGAGAAGCACCTCCTTAGCACGGAACTGAAGGGGATTTGCCTGAAGGACATCCTCCTCAACCGTGGCAAGGGAAAGATGCCTCTCCCTCCCGATCCCCTTGGCGAAGGCGCCACTGCCGCAGAGAAGGCCGCTTTTGACGCTCAGACCACCAAGTACGAGACTGATTTCAGTGTGTGGGAGCAGGCAGATGCAGCAGTTATTAGGGTTTTCATCACCACCACTCCGGTTGAGCTTGTCAAATCCTACCGCACCTTTCGCTCCGCTCATGCGATTTGGAAGTACCTCCAGGACCGTTTCCATGACAAGACAGCAGTGGGTGTTGCCATCCTCATACCTCGAATGTTCCAGGTCCGTCTTGAGGAATGCCCTGGCATGGCAGATTACATCTCTGAAATCCGCAACATCCATGAGGAACTCAAGGACATTGGGATCATTTTCCCCGAACAGGCACCTGCAGCTGGCCTACTTGTAGGACTGACCCCGGCCTACAATGTCACCAGCTCCATGCTCAAGCAACTTCCCACCAAGGAACTCACCTTCGAAAAAGTCGCATCGGCTCTCCTTTCCGCCGAAAAGGACCTTGCAGCCCAAGCATCCGTCAATGCTGTGCGCTACACCCCTGGAATCTCATTCCGCTCCCAACAAGGACCAAGGCGCAACTCCTTTCCCCCATGCCCCTACATCATTAGGAAAGGCCCACGTGCAGGGCAGAAATGCGGAGGCACCAACCACCCTGAGGCAACTTGCTTCAACAAGCGAGATGATGAGTGGTACGACGTCCATGGTGTCTCCACCAACAAGCGCCCTCCCAACTGGGCCCCACCCCGTCGCGTGAACCATGTCGAGGCAGTGGAGGTGCCTAGTCCCTCAGTTGATAGCACCCCATCTGATATTCGCCTCAACCTGTTGTTCTCAGGTGCTGGTCTTATTAATGAGAAGGGGTCACAGTACATCGGTGTTTCAAACACACAAGGGATAGAGTTCATACTAGACAGTGGTGCCACCCACACAGTGCTCAAAGACCAAACCGCGTTCGTTCTTTACCAAGCTCCCATCCCACTCCTCGGAGCCGACTCTAGCTTCTCCATCCAATGCCATGGGTCCTCCACAGTTCCTTGTCCAGCATTTCCATCGGGCACAGTCACTGGCATCCTAAGTTTGACGTTGCGTATTGAGTTTATATGCATCTAAAATTCGTACGCTGCGTATTTTTCTAAAATTCGCCAAATTTCTCTCGGGCTGACCGGGAAAAATAAATCAGTTGTGTTCGCGAGTATCGGAATTTAGATTTGAGATCGCGAGTTGCAAATTTAACCTCAGATCTGAATTTCGAAACCGTTTGGTGAATCGTCCCCTCCTATCAACCGCTCAACAACCCATTCCAACCACATCGATTACCAATGCCTTCCAATTTTGTTGCCAACTTCAACCAGACTCATCCTCCCCGCTCAATGTCAGGTCGTTTTTCCCTTCGATCCCCTTCTAATTTCACTTGCGACGATAACCTACCATAGCAGCTCCCGTTCCCGTCTCTTGACCTAGCATCTTAACCTGCCCGGGAGAAGAATTTAGCTGCCCGGGCAAGCGTTTTTCTGTGCGTACGAGACCCCCTCCGGCCAGCGTGCTGCGTATAAACTCTAGCGTTTATACGGAAAGCGTACTAAACGCGAAACACGTTTTTTCCAACATAGCTGGCATCTGTGCCCCCACCCTCCGCCACAACCTCTTGGCACAAAGTGAAATCCAACAAGCAGGAGTGATCACCATCTTTCCCAATGATGTCGACTACTGTGACCTCTTTGACGCCAAAACCGGCATTCATCTAGCCCGCTTCACTCTCAACTCCAACAACCTATACACGCTCGTAGTACCTCCCATTCAAACGTGCTCCCTAACAAACCTCCCGTTACCTTCCCTTGACTCCTCCACTTGTCACTGCCGCCTCCTTTCCGACAAAACCATGCTCTTTCATCACCGCCTTGGCCACATCAACTTTCGCGCGCTTTCAGACCTTGCCACAAAACAACTCCTCCACGGGCTTCCAACCTCATTTCCCTCTCCTACCTCCACCCTAGGGCCGCCTTGCCTTGACTGTGCACAGAGCAAGCTTCGTGAACAGCCTCATCCCCCCACTGAGTCCATCTCCGCTGCACCTCTCGATCGCGTGCACATGGACCTTTGGGGCCCAGCTCCTGTTCGCTCTCGCGGTGGACACTTTTACTTCATTGTCATCATTGATGACTATTCCCGCTATGTGTCTGTCCATCTTCTCTCCTCCAAATCCGAAGCCCCAGGCGTCATCATTGAATGGGCGAAGCAGGCTCACAAACACTTCAAAACCACCATCAAGGTCCTTCACTCTGACGGTGGCGGTGAATTCCGCAACAACACTCTCAAAGCTTACTGCTCCACTGAGGGTATCCGTCAGACCTTCACTCTCCCGGACAGTCCCCAACAGAACGGTATTGCCGAAAGCCGGAACCGTACATTGGTGCAGATTGCTCGCTGCCTCCTCACGCACGCCTCCGCCCCTCCCTCTCTCTGGGGGTACGCCATGCTTCATGCTGCCGCCCTCCACAATCTCCATCCCCATCCTCATCACACCCACACCACCCCCGCTGAGCTATGGACGGGTCAAAAGCCATCCGTCCGCCCTCTTCGTGTATGGGGGTGCACTTCCTATGTCCTCCTCAACTCCCAAGCCCGTCGTGCGGCTGGCGGCAAACTTGCTCCTAAAACGATCACGTGCGTATACCTCAGGCACAACTTAGATTCGCCAGACTATCTCTTCCTCCATCCTTCCACCAACAAGCTCTATCGCAGCCGGGACGTTTACTTTGATGAGTCCCACCCATTCTACCCCTCCTCCAAGGCTTCCCCCTCTCCTCCGCCTCCCTCTCTTACTTGGGCTGACTTTGACAGTCTCCCTCTTCCCGACACTCCATCTCCTCCTCTTCCCGCTCCCTCCACCATTTCTGATCCCCCATCACCCGCTTCCCCCTCCAGTACCACACAGTCTCCCTCGCTCCCTCCCTCCTCCGCTACCCCTCCTCCATCTCCTCTCGCATCTCCTCCTACCGAGCCCGTTCCTCTCACAACCTACCAACGCCGTCACCCAGCTCCTCCTCCTCCTGCTCCCACCCTTGATCCCGATCCTGTCTCCACTCTCCCTCCCACTCCCACCTCCCCTTCCGCTGCGCCTACTCCGGCCCCGCCTCCCTCACCCATCGCTTCTCGCACCCGCTCTCGTACACCTCCACAACCGTTCTCCCTTTCCGTTCGCGTCTCTCTCAATCCTCCTCCTGTCGGGGGTGATTATTCTCTCATGCCATCCCTCCTTGAAGACAGACATGAGGAGTTGATTGATATCGACTCAGCCATCCACGCACTCTGCTTCCTCTTTCCAGACATCGCAGACTCTCCCACCTTCAATTTCTCCGACAACCCCTCCATCCCCACACCTCTCACCTATGCTGAAGCAGTCTCTGGTCCTCACGCCGCTCAGTGGTTGGGGGCCATTGTCGCAGAATGTGAGGCCTTCATTCACACAGGAACTTTCACAAACGTCTCTCCTCCCTCCGGCGTCAACATTGTGAAGGGAATATGGGTCTTTCGGGTGAAACAACTTCCAGGCGAATTTCCTGTCTTCAAAGCCCGGTATTGTGCCAAGGGATTTACCCAAAAGCGTGGACTGGACTTCTTTGAGACATTCTCTCCTACCGCCAAACCTCCCACACTGCGCACCCTTCTTGATGTCGCTGCTCGAGATGACATGGAGGTTGACTGCATGGATGTGTCTTCTGCGTTCCTGCAAGGGATCCTTCGAGAGGAAATCTATATGGAGCAGCCCGAAGGATTTCCAGCTCCTTTTCCACCAAGCACTGTATGGAAGCTGAATCGGCCAGTGTATGGCCTCAAGCAAGCTCCCCGGGAATGGCACAACAAGCTAAAGAGCACCTTAGGGTCCCTCGACTTTCACCCATCCACCTCTGACCCCAGCCTCTTCATCCGAGCAACACCCTCCCGGTTCTTCATCCTCGTTTATGTCGATGACATGATCCTTGTCACCAAGGATCAGACTGAGCTGGCAGCAGTCAAAACCGCACTTGGTGAGAAGTTGGCCATGAAGGACCTTGGGAAGTTTACGAACTATTTGGGAATGGAAATCACACGTGATCGCACAGCCCGCACCATCACCCTTTCGCATAAGTTTTACATCAACAACGTTCTAACAAGGTTCCAGATGCAGGAAGCAGCATCAATGCCCACCCCACTCTCTCTGCAACACCAACTCACTGCACCCTCCGTTCCCTCACCTGAGCCCTGTGACGAGCCTTACCCCGAGCTCGTGGGATCCCTCATGTACGCGATGATGTGCACTCGACCAGACTTAGCCTATCCAGTCAGTGTACTGTCCCGCTACGTTGCACCTGGTCGCTTCACTCGCCACCACTGGTCTGCCGCCAAGCAGGGTCTTCGCTATCTCAAAGGCACACAGGATTATGTGCTTACACTTGGCGGCACTTCCCCGGTTCGCCTTGAGGGGTACAGTGACTCATCCTATGCTGATGACCAGAGTGATCGGCGCTCGTCCCAAGGGTATTGCTTTACCCTTGGCAGTGGGGTTGTAAGTTGGCGCTCCACTCGGTCGTCCTCCGTCTCACTGTCGACCTGTGAGGCTGAGCTGTATGCCGGGACCATGGCTGCACAGGAGGCTCGTTGGCTCTCCTTCCTGCTGACAGAACTGGGGTATCCCCAACCAACCCCAACGCTTTGGTGTGACAACGAGAGCACCATTCATCTCACCTAAGACCCCGTTTTCCATGGCCGCACCAAGCACATTGAAGTCCGTCACTACTTTCTTCGTGAGCTGGTGCAGCGCGAGCAGCTGAAGGCTGAACACATTGCCTCCGACTGCAACCTTGCTGACTTGTTTACCAAGTCGCTTGTTCGCGAGGATCATTACCGCCTCCTCTCGGCCATGGGTGTTGGGCCTCTTTGTGGCTGATGTGTTGCAGCCCTATGATGCGAAAGACGCACGGAGGACGCTGCGTCCTGCGTCTGGACGCAGTGTCTGGACGCTCGGACGCAGGATGCGCGTCCAGACGCAGGACGCACATCGAATTTTTTTCGGGCTGCCCCGAAAAAAAAATTCCCGATCGCGAAATTTAGATTCGCGATTTCGACGCGACTGTCGAAATCGCAAAATTTCGACCCCCCCCCCTTAGCACAAACGCCATTTCGTCACCCTTTGAGATAACCGTTACTTTAAAACGGTTAACTAACACTAGAACCTTAGTTTGGGAACGAGCTAGGTGAGAGATGGCATGATGAGAAGCTAGGGGTGAGCTGAGCTTGCGCTAGAGCTTGAACAAAATGTCGCGCAGCTCAAATTTGACCGGCACGACATTTGTCGGGGGGGTCAAATCCCCGCAAGAATGAGATCTGACGAAATTGACTCAAATTAGAACAAAAACCGCATTTCACCGCACTGAATCTAGAATTTCCAACCAGTCTATCAATTCCCATCCCAGGTCGACCAGATCTGGCCGCATTTGTTGGCCTGAGATATAGTCGACAGCGTAATAAACTAGGGGGTTTTCTCGACTAGCTTATAGGTACAGCTGACGAAGCAAATTGTCGCAGGGGAAAGAGGCGGGCCAGAACAGCCCGACCCGCCCCCGTGCTCATCCAGGGCCTATAACAATTTTTTTGCCTGCCCGTGGGGTTTTTTTGCCCTGCCCGGGCTTGCGTCTTTTGGTGCGACTTTCTGGTCCTGGTGCTGCGTCCTGCGTCTGGACGCATGCGTCTGGACGCATGCGTCCAGGACGCAGGACGCGTCTTTCGCAACATAGTTGCAGCCTAGGGGGTGTGTTAGAATTAGGCTATCAACACTTTGTGTACTATATTCTATATCGCGTAGGTTATTTGCGGGTTGGGTGTAGTTTGTGATCCCAACCCTATCTGGTTGGGATTCCCTCGTAATCCTGCAAATTTGCCAACTCACCAATTGGAGATTTGCTAGGATTCTCATCCCATCTTTTCCCTAGCCTTGCCCATCCCAACCTCGTTTGTACTTAAGGCCTAGTGCCTTCTTTCCTAATCAATCAGTTCAGTTCCAATTCTATCAGAGGGAACCGTCCTTGCGCATGTGCATCCACTCAAACCTGCACAGGGGACTCGGGGTGAGAGGAAGGTTTGAGACGACCATGTGCATGGGGCGGTTGTGCTCGAGCTGCAGGAAGGAGAGAGTGACCTCCACGGGGAAGAGGGAACCGTCCTTGCGCATGTGCATCCACTCAAACCTGCACGCACGGGGGAGGGGTGGGTTTGCGGGTGAGAGGAAGTGAGGAAGTTTTAAGGCGCCTCTGAGGTGGGAGGGGTGGTGCCAGACGACCATGTGCATGGGACGGTTGTGCTCGAGCTGGAGAAAAGAGAGGGTGACTTCGACAGGGAATAGTGACCCATCTTTGCGCATGTGCATCCACTCAAACCAGGGCCCATGGGAGGATGGTGGGCGGAGGGGAGGGAGGGAAGGAAGGAGGGAGGGAGAGAGGGAGCTTTGGATAAGTCGTGCCAGACGACCATGTGCATGGGACAGTTGTGCTCTAGCTGCAGGAATGAGAGGGTCCCCACCCTCCCATGGCCCAGGGTTGAGGGTCCCTTCTACCAGGAAGAGGGAACCGTCCTTTCGCATGTGCATCCACTCAAACCTGCACGGGGTATGAGCAGGACGCAAGGGAATGAGGAGAAGAGAGGGTATCTCACAGCTCTACTCACTTGTGCAGGCTCATACCTCAGTCACAGCTCGTGTCTCACACCCACACCTCACAGCTCGTTCTCGCTACTCACTTGCGCATGCCTGTCTCAGTAGCCAAAGCCACCATCTCAACCTTCTCGTCTGACCGTTGCCTGTCCGGCTAGTGTTACCGCCCTCTCATTCATGAGCCGGATACTTAATAGGCAATCCTCCTCTCACGCTACTCACTTGTGCATGCCGGTCTCAGTCGCCCGGGTCACCATCTCAACCGCCTTCTCGTCCGACCGACAGTGTTGAGGCGCATCAAGGCTCTCTCAATCCAAGAATGCTCATGCCTCACTGCTCATATCTCTTTCCTCTACTCACTTGTGCATGCCTGTCTCAGTCGCCCGGGCCACCATCTCAACCGCCTTCTCGTCCGACCGCTGCCCGTCTGGCTGGCGCTCGGGGGAAAAGTACGCGGGATGCCGCCCGATGAGCTCGCTCTTGTCGCTGCAGCGCAGGCAGTGGATGGCGGCATCGTTGCACTCCGTGATGCCCGTGTCGTCAAATACGAGATAGCCGTCCTGGGGGCAGGTGGGGGGGAGAGGAGGGGGGGTAGACTTAAGGAAGGAAGGGGAGCATTGCGTGCATTTGCTTCGTTGCACTCCGTGATGCCCGTGAAGGAGATGGGGGATGGGGAAGGAGGAAGGCCGAGAATGAAGGGAAGTAGGAGGGAGGGAGGGTACAATTAAGCGCATATTGCAGCGCAGAAATTCGATCGCTGCATCGTTGCACTCGGGGAGGCAAGCAAGCGGCACATGTGCAATTGTAACGAGGTGACTTTTGAGTTGACTCAAAAGTGCACTCGGGGAGGCAAGCAAGCGGCACGTCACGTCACTCACCACTCACCTGCTCAACTCACGTCACGTCATTCACCATTCAGAGGGATGGGTTGGCGGTCATCGCTCACTCACTCACTCACTCACTCACTGCACGCAATGGTCGAAAGAAATTAGCAAGAAGTAAGCAACCAGAGCCCACCACCCACTCACTCACCGAGGAGGCCTCATAAAGCAGCCGAAACTTCTCCCGCACGATCAGATGGTCCGTGATGTCGCTGACCACCCACAGGTCGCCCCCGCCCGCCCCGCAGTCCCTGACGGCCACCTCTAACCACCGCGTCTCGCCATCCCTCCGCACCATTCTTAACGTTCTCGACTCTCGGAACCCCATCGCCCGGTCCGCTTCCAGGATTTGGCGCACCTGTGGGGGTGGGGGTGGGGGTGGTAGAACGATGGGAATTGGGCACGATGGGAATTGGGCACGAGAAACGGGAAATCTGATGCTCGCTGAGCTCAGCTCCTTCTCACTCCCCTCACTCCCTTCACTCCCTCACTCCCTCACTCCACACTCCCTCACACACACTCGTCTCATACTCTCCATCTGCTTCCCATTCTCCCACTCTTTAAGTGTCCCTCCCCCTCACCTCTTCCGCCCTTTTCCTGAAGAGGCACGAGAACCAAGAGTCCACGCACCGTGCTCAACTCCTACACACTCCACACAAACTACCTCACAATCACCTTTACTCCTTATCCCCATCTCCCTCCTTCACACCTCTCCCACTCCCCCTCCCTCTCTTACCTCTTCCGCCCTTTCCCTGAAGAGGCACGAGAACCACGAGTCAACCGTACTCAAATCCCTCCTCACTTCCCCTCACAGTGCTACCTCACACTCACCTTTCACTTATCATCCCACTCTCCCACTCCCCCTCCCTCTCTTACCTCTTCCGCCCTTTCCCTGAAGAGGCACGAGAACCACGAGTCAACCGAGCTCAGCTCCTCCCGTGAATACCCCGTAATAGCCTCCATATGAGGATTAATCACCACCTCATCCCCGTTGCTGCTGCCACCGCCGCTCCTCTCCCCTCTGCTGCCCCTACCACTGCCGGCGCTGTTGCCGCTCCCCCCGCCACTCCCTCCCCCTCCGCTTCCCCCTCTGGTTCGCTCCTCTGGAAGCATGTGCGCCACTCCTGCTGGCAGGTGCTGGAGAATGAAAGCACACCGCTTGGCCCGCACCTCCTGTGGTTGCAGTGGGGTGCAAAGCGGTGGGGAAGATTGGGATGGGGTGGAATACAGTTATGTGTGGTGGAGTAGGGTAAAGTGGGACCCGAGGAAAGAGACAGGGAAGCATGTGCGCCACTCCTGCTGGCAGGTGCTGGAGAATGAACACACACCGCTTGGCCCCCACCTCCTGTTGTGCGGTGGGGTGGGAAGGGGTGGGGTGGGAAGCGGTGGGGTGGAAAGTGGTGGGGCAGGTTGGGATGGGGTGAAGTACGCGTAAGTGTGGTAGAGTAGTGGGTGGGATGGGGTAAGAGGAAGGGAATTGTATGTGCCCCTTAAACACATATAATTCCTCTGCACCCCTCTAACCTTGGAGCCGTGCAGAGCAGCAGAGAGGTGGCTGAAGCGAGCCAGGAACATGGAGGGAAGTAAGGAGAAGGGAGAGCCACCAACCTCCCTCCTGTCTCCTCACTTCTCTCCATTCATCCTTGCCCCTTTGTTCCCCACCCCACCTCCTACACCACTTACGTTTCAGCACCCCTCTCACCTTGGAGCCGTGCAGAGCAGCAGAGAGGTCGCTGAAGAGTGCCGTGAACATGCAGGGGGGATCATCGCCCCACGCCCAACCCGCCCCATCTGGTGCTGGCCCCCCGCACATGGAGGGAGGGGCCATGAACATGGAGGGAGGGGAGGGTCATCGCCCCTCGCCCAACCCGCCCCATCTGGTGCTGGCACTGAGCAGCACAACCCCAGCAGCACCCCAAGCAGCACTTGCCTGGAGGCTGAAAGAATGGGGCCGGCCTCTCACCTTGGAGCCGTGCAGAGCAGCAGAGAGGTCGGAGAACAGAGCCATGAACATGCAGGGGGGATCGTCGCCCCACGCCCCACCCGCACCATCTGCTGCTGGTGCCACGTGGCATGTGAGGCGAATGCGCCGCATGCTGCCTTCTGAAAATGGTTGGGGGCAGGAGAAGAGAAGGAGGGGGGAGGGGGGGAGGAGGGGGAGGGGGGGAGGAGGGGGGGGGGGGGGGGGGGGGGGGGGGGGGTGGTTCAGGGAGAAAAGAGGGGGGTTCAGAGGTCGCTGAAGAGTGCCATGAAGAGGGGGCGTCTCAACCCCACCCGCACCATCTCAGCATCTGCTGCTGGTGCCACGTGGCATGTGAGGCGAATGCGCCGCATGCTGCCTCCTGTGGGGTTGTAAGGGGAGATGGATGGACGTTAGGCATGTTCCTTCTGCTGGTGCCACGTGGCATATTCCTTCTGATGGTGCCACGTGGCATGTTCCTTCTGCCAGTGCCACGTGGCATGTTCCTTCTGCCAGTGCCACGTGGCATGTTTCTTCTGCTGTTGCCACGTGGCATGTGAGGCGAATGCACCGCATGCTACCTCTCCTGGGGTTTGTAGGGGTGGATGGGTGGGGGGAAAATAGGAGAGGAGAGGGAAAAGGGGCATAAGTGTCTCAAGTTAAGCAAGACACACACACACACACACTCAAACACGCACACACACACACACACACACAAACACACGCACACACACACACACAAACACACACAAACACACACACACACACACACACACACAAACACACGCACGCACACACACACATGCACACACACACACACACACAAACACACGCAGGCACACACACACACACACACACACACACACACACACCTACACAGACAGAACGATTGATAGAGCCAGCACAGAGCAGAGATGAGATGACCCACCTGGCAGGATGACGGGCAGGTCATGGTGGGACTGTCTGTGCCACGTGGCGTGAGGTGATAGGTGCTGCGCGTGTGCTGAAAGAGTCGCTGCTGAGATGCTTCCGAACCAGTTCTGGGGGAGGGGGGAATGGGTGAGGGGAGGTAGGCCAGGGGAGGTGGGGGAGGGAGGGAAAAGGGGAGGGCGAGAGGGAGTTTAATTTGGCATGCAGTGATAGGTGCTGCGCATGTGCTGAAAGAGTCGCTGCAGAGATGCTGCCAAACCAGCTCTGAAGGTGGAGGTGGGTGGTGGGGAGTGGTGGGGGAGGGGGGAGAGAGAGGAGGGAAGGGAATGAATCTTTGAGGCGCCACAAAGAAAGGGCCGCTGCTGACATGCTATCAAACCAGGTCTGAGAGGGGAGAGGGAGAATGGGGAGGGGAGGGGGGAAGAGAGTGGGAGGGGAGAGGGGGTGAGCGTAGGGACGGAAAGGGGAGGGAGGATTTCTTCCTTAGGCACCAGAAAGAAAGAGAGAGACCCCTCCAGGGCGTTGACTGATCGCCCCAGCATGGCGGCTAGAGCAGTGCTGCAGTGAACCAGCTCGCGACTGCCTAGTTGAAGACCCGCCAGGCCTATCCCTGCCAGGCCTGTCCCTGCCAGGCCTACCTATCCCTCCCTGCTCGGTCCAGGGGAGGTCACCTCACAGCGACTGGCACAGAAGACCCACCTGGAAGCTCCTAATGGCAGGGGCGCTGAGGAAGTTCTGCAGCGGAGAGCCCTCCAGGGCGTTCACTGATCGCCCCAGCATGGCGGCTAGAGCGACGCTGCAGTGAACCAGCTCGCCACTTCCCAGGCGAAGACCCGCCAGGCATATCCCTGGCACGCCTACCTATCCCTTCCCTCCCTCCCAGCTACATTCAGGGGAAGTCACAGCAACCGGGACAGACAGCACACCCACCTGGAAACTTCTAGAGGCAGGGGCGCTGAGGAAGTTCTGCAGCGGAGAGCCCTCCAGGGCATTCGCTGATCGCCCCAGCATGGCGGCGAGAGCAGCGCTGCAGTGAACCAGCTCGCCACTGCCAAGGCGGAGACCCACACAGCCCAGCCCCTCACTGCCAGCCTGGAAGCTGGGACACCCACCCACCTGGAAGCTGCGAATGGCAGGGGCGCTGAGGAAGTTCTGCAGAGGAGAGCCCTCTAGTGCATTGACTGATCGCCCCAGGATGGCGGCTAGAGCAGCGCTGCAGTGAACCAGCTCGCCACTGCCCAGGCGGAGCCCCGCCAGGCCTATCCCTGCCTCGTCCAGGAGGGCCCGGACGTGCAGGTCCGGGAGCCAATGGGAGTCCGCCACGTCATCCAGCCATGAGTGGGTGAAACCGCCGCCCTCTGCTCGGGGGGGATGGGGGGGAGGAGGGGATGGGAATGCGGGGAGGGGAAGAGGGGGGGTTGTGGGGTAGGTAAGGGGAGAATTGTGGGGCGGAGGAGAGAGGGAGAGGAGGGGGAGGGAATCGGGAGAGAGTGGAGAGGGAGGATTGGATGGGGTATTGGGGGGGGGGATGAAAATGGGTGGATAATAAAAGAAGATGCTGAAGACAAAGCGACAAAGAGGTAACCACAGAGTCTTCCCCCCTTCCCCTCTCTCCAACCACCTCCGCCCGTCTCTTTCTCTCTTTCGTTCTCACCTGATTTGAATCTCATTCTTCTCCCATTCCTCTCAGACAGCCTTCCCAACGTCTGTGCCCTCGTAGGCCCTATACAAGTCTCATCATCATCATCACTACCACCACCACCACCACCGCCGCCGCCGCCGCCGCCCCTATCACGACCAGCACCACCACCAACAACAACGTCTAGCTGGTCTCTTTCCTGTCTCCTCCCCGCCCCCCTCCCCTCCGTCCTTCCCTCTCCCCTCACCTCTCCCCTTCCATCCCCCCTAGCCTCCCCCTCCGCCTCGAATTCCCCTTCTTCCGCCACAAACCCTCTCTCTCCGCCCCACGACCCCCCTGTCTTCCCCTTTCCCCCTCCGCTCGTCCCACACCACCTCCTCTCGGGGGACATAGCCACCATTCCCCGCACTGTCTTCCCCCCCGCCCCCGCTCCCCCCATTCTTCCCCCTCCAACCGTGGTTCCGCTTCCCCCAAACCGTTCCGCTCCCCCCATCCGCTCCCCTTCCGCCCCCCCTCTCCACCCGAGCGGGAAATCCTCCTCAGAGTCACTTTTACTCGCGAAACCTATCTCTTGCACGAAATTCGCGTCTAAGCTACGCTGGCGCCCCAGTCCCCCCCCCCCCTCTTCCGCCATTTCTCCCCCTGCTCCCCCTGCTCCCCGTCTTCGCCCTGCTCCCCCCGCTCCCTCCGCCGCCGCCACCTATCCCCCTGCTTTCCCCGCTCGCGCCTTCCCCCATCTGCCACGTCACCTTCTCTTCCCACGTCAGCTCGTTATCCTTAAACTCCTTTAATCGCGGCCTATTTCCCACCTGCTGCGGATTAATCTGCACTGCTGCACTCACATTCGCCTTCGCACTCACGCTCGGGCCCTTGCCTATGTTCTCGAGAGCGTGCGCATGCACAAACGCATGCGGAGGAACGCTCGCTTCGCCATCGTTTGACTGGGAATGCAAAGGCGGTAAGCGCCCCGAGCCTACGCTACTCTCCCGCCGAAGCCCCGCCCCTATGCTGCTCTCTCGTCGAATCCCTGTCCCTAGACTAGCTTCCCGCCGAAGCGCCGAGCCTGCTCTATTGCCCTCCCCCTTGTACTCTCCCCCACTATCCGCCGTCCTATAATCACCCCCGCTTCCGCCCGCGCCAACATCCCAACTTCCGCCATTCCCGCCAATCCCGCCAGCCTCCCCCGCTGCGCCCTGCCCGCCGCGGACGCTCCCGTCATGCTGCTCCGAGCCGCTTCCGTGGTTCAAGGAGCCTACTAAGAGGCACCTCAAGGCGCCCGGGCCGCCGGAGCCCGTCTGTGGCTGAGTGGTAAGGGAAAAGGACTTGGGGTATGGGGACGCGGGATCGTCAACGTCAACGTCAGCGTGAACGTCGGCGTGAACGTCATCGTCAACGTTCCGTTCCCCTTGCTGCCCCCGCTGCTGCGGGAGCGGGTGCGCCGTTGCTACAAGCTCGCGCTCCCCGTTGGTCTCGAAGTATTGGAGCAGGATGGAAAACAGAACGGGCTTCCCGCCAGCAGCAGACGCGCCACTGTTCGTTTCGCGAGACTCGCCGAGAGCGGTTACCACCTGCTGCTCCCTCGCAAACTGCTCCTTTCCCAACTGCTTCCCCTGCTCCTGTCTCTGCTCCCTCCCCTGCTGCTGCTGCTGCTGTTCCCGCTGCTGCTGCTGGAGCCGCTTCCGCCCTTCCCTGTGCTTCCGCCTGCTCCTCCGCCTCGCCGCTCCGTCTTCCGCCCATTGCGCGCCGAGCATCCCGTCCCCGCCATAATCGTCATCGTCATCGTCGTCGTCGTCATCCGAAAATATTTGATTCTGCGCGAACCCGTCCCGCGAGAAGCTGTCCGACGTGGACGAGAACGACCGCACCTCCTCCGACGTGCTCGTGCGCAGCCCCGCGTGCAGCGCAGAAACCTCCGCACCAGCGGAAACCCCCCCCCTTACTCCCCCGCCTGCGCTTCCGCCTCGCCCTGCACCGCCAGCTCCCGTTCCACAAGTCTTCCGCCGAGCCAGCGATAACCCCGCTGCTTCCGAACCTCCCCCGCTGCTTCGGCTACTGGACCGGCCAATGCGGTCCCCCCCAACGAAACCCTCATTTTCGTTTCCCACCGCGTTTTCCCCAACCGTTTCCCCTGCGCTTCCGCCCGTCCCGTCTGCTCCTCTTCCTAGTCTCAGAAGCGCGTCGAGCTTCGCGCCGCGCTGCTCCCCGGTCGCGAGGGGGGCAACCAGCTGCAGCCATTCCGGTAACGGCAAGCCGTCAATTAAACCGCACAGCGTCAGCGCTTCTAGCTCCTCGGGAGCATAACCTAACGCATCGCATGCGCCCTCGCTCACAGCACATATTCGAGCGGTCCACGGGTCAAGCACGAACTGCACGAACTGCGCCTGTTGAACAAGCCCTAAGACCGTGGGTCCTTGTCCGGGCATTCCGGGCTTTCCACCGCCATTTCCGTTGGGTATTCCGCTCCCGACGGGTCCTGCTAGTGTTTGCGGGGTACAGCTCCCAGGAGAGTTTTTCCTATGGATAGGAGGAGGGGCCTGATAGGTCACAGTCAGCGGCATGGCCTAAGGACGTGCCCTAAGAGTACGTCTCTTGATCGTTCTGTGGAGTCTATATGGTGCGTCGCGGTACAAAGCGGTGAAATTCGAGAACCGCTTTCCACCGTGTGGAACCGACTTGAGCCACGAAGAATGAACTGTATACGTACTGTTGGGACAGACCCAAGATGAGAGCTGGCTGCAGCAACATGCGAATGCGTCCGGACGAAGGAGAGAACTTGCTACAAACCTTGCTAGTGGTAGCTACTAGAGACCAGGTGACATTTTGTTGCCCAGTTAGTGGTAATAACATCTATCGCCTAGTTAGTGGCACACCATACTCTACGGAAGAGCGGAAAAGCTGACTGTTACTGGAGCCAAATGACGAAGTGCAAGAGGCGTGTAGAAGTGCAAGAGGCGTGAAGAAGCAGCGTCCGCGATCCCTGCACACACAGATAGGAAACAGTTGCGCGACGCGCTGGCGCGCGAACTTCTCTCAATCCCATCGACCGATCTCGCACCGTAGGTAGGGCGACCGAACCTCGTCTAAATAGATCGACTTACAACTGATTCCACGTTATGTTCATGCTGCAGACAAGTTCATGTTGACATTACAAGTGCCATTTGGTTTTACGGCCAGAATCGCGGGATTACAGCATGAGGTTTCAATCCTTTCATCAAAGACAAATTTTGCGACATGTTATGCCAGGGCGTATCTCTGGTTCCGGTCACTTGCACTGTTCCGAGGCTTTTTCGCGCCAATATTACGCCCCAAACAACAGTCACATCCAATGGAGGGATGCCAGTTAGCTCGAAAGATCATTTGCTACACCCACGCTAAACCATGCGACACCCATCTAAAAACAAAATCGTAAAAAAATGTCGGCATGAATCCCCAGATGTTGGGAGCGCGACGCGGGAAATTCAAGACACATTCGGGGGTCACAGAGATCAATTTGCCGAGTGGTTGGGTGTAAAGGTATAGAATACGGTACATTGCAAAATTGTGACACTCGACTGACGACGGCCAAAAAGATGGCAGTCTAACGTGAATCGTGCAACCAGGTGATTGGTTGGGGGAGGGTCATACACGTCACTCGCCCAACACCTGCACATTGACCCAAAGCTGGGGCCGCGCGCGGCTCGGCAGCCCACTTCGGGTCATGCGCATTTTACGCATGACCCAAACAGTTGAATGAACAGTGCAAGTGACCGGAACCAGAGATACGCCCTCACTTCAGTCTGGTCGCGCAGACAAGGCTTGTCTTATGCTGTTTTTGTTTGGTCTGTTTTTGTTTACGGTGTTAAACGAACTAAGCCCCGTAGGGAGCCAGGCACGCTTTCAATGCATCAACCCTAAACACCTGGAAAGTTCCCGTGTTTAGGGTTGATCCTTCCCGAATTGCACCACATTCAAGGCATTAACCCTAAGCACCATGCTTTCCGTGTTTAGGGTTGATGCCTCCCGAATTTCGTTCATGCCTTTAGGGGTTTTTTTTTTCAGCCCTGCTTAGATTCAGAGGTGTGTAGATGTTTCCTAAATTCGCGATTGACACGCAGATTAAAAAAATAGCATGTATACAAAAAACGTAACACGCGTACGAAACTTTTTTGCGCCATCAGAAAAAGACAAAACAACCGAAACTTGTAAGGTCAAGGCAATGTAGTCACAATTGCGAGCTTGTTTTTTTACGGAAGCACGAAAATCACCTGGCAGACATTATCCCAAACGAAACAGTGACAATTAGGAAAACACCAGTTTTTATTCACCGTATGTAGGTCAATTCATTTGCGAGGGGTAGATGTCGCGTAAGCGCATGTAGATCAATTCATTTGCGAGGGGTTCGGTCGCCCTACCTGCGGTGCGAGCCTTGCTGATAGGATTAAACAAAGTTTGCGCATTTGCGCGTCGCGCATTTTTTCCCACAGATTGTCTACCCACCCACAACAGTCACGGCGCGTCACATTTGTTCAGAGCTCGTAAATAACCGATGCTGGTGAGTATCAAACGGTTCAAAACGGTGCAAACAAATGACCGCTCAGGATTGTACAGCATCGTTCCTAACCGAACGCAAAGGGAGCTCGAATGATGTGCCTCCCTCCCACAGGTTGCTAGTTACAGTGGATGACTGCAGCGCAGTCCCCAAGGTTGCTCCACCCCGAATCTTGGGATTGTTGCAGGAACGAGCCCTCCATCGATCTTGCAGAGTGACAAAGCCATCGTTGTTGGACCTGGCTCATCATCAGCAGAAATGGTTCCGTGAAAACCGTAGGGTGTACGAGAGCTGTACCATTACAGCTCAAAAGTGTACAGTGGATAAATCGTTTCTTGAGTTGAGATCATCTTGAGTCCCGGTCGAGCTGGACGGTTGGTTGTCGTCTGTGGTAGAGTGGAAGCGCTGAGAGTGTGTAGTGAAAGTTGGGGTTGCGAATCGTATAAAAGCTGGAATTTATGTGTTGGTGGAACTCGAGAGCGCAAATATAGGAACCCAAGTATAGACCCTAAACTTCTCGAGCATACTGAACATGCAATGTCTTCTGAATAATTTTCTGAAATAACCTCCTAGTGCACCTCATTGATAAATAGCCTTGGTATCAGGAACCTACCCGATACATTCAGATTGGTCAGGACAGGATTGCTATGACTGCCAGGACGCAGGTGTTGATTCTGGCTGGCTGTTCCGTCCACGCTTCATCCAAACATTGTCGATGTGGCATCCACCATTCTGAATCCCTTTTCGCATACTGAAACTGCAGTCATCCTCCAATGAGGTCTGGCTGGAGTTGGTTCAGAAGGCACCATATCTGACATGGAGTCACTTTCAGATAGTTACACCAACTTTTTTAACTTTTAGACCTGAACCTAGTAAGGAAAATTCCTTTTCCTTACTTAGCGTCCCTGCTCAGCGCATACACCACTGATCCCGCCAACAGCACCCAACACTAAACCGTTACCACTCGCGACATTCGCCTCGACACTGTTCCCGCCACTGTTCACGACTCGACCCAACCTCACGGTTCAGTTAGTAACCCGCGCTCCGTACCTCCGCCTCGGCATTTCCCAACCTCAGCGCCAGGCCCGTCGCGCACCCCATTTTCACGCATTACCGTTACCACTAAAGTTTCGCTCATTGTATTTTTTGCTTTGATAGTGCAATTCTCGTTCGCTCACTGAATTGCACTAGTAACACACCCTAAACCTTTCAGCGTTCCAAAATCCCATCACTTAACCATTATAGCAATTTAACAACTTCATTTTGTTACGGGTGCAATTGAGTGAGCGAACGAAGATTGCACTATCAAAGCAAAAATAATTCAATGAACGAAGGCATGAGTTAATTTTTAAAGTGCTCACTAAGGGCTGTCGTACAGGCTTTATGCTCGGGAATGTCAGGGCTGTTAGAATAGCAGCTAGAACGTTAGAACAGGAAAAAACGGATTTGGACTAGCAGCAGCAGGATACATATACGAAACCCTAAATTGGGTTGTACTCGCTATAGACTACCCCACTGCAGGCTAGACAAATACAACATTCTGACACACACCCATAGCCAAAATGGGGTGTAATCAGCAGAATAAGCAGACAGAGCAATAGTTTACAATGATAAGCAAAGCTAGAGGCTATCACATGTCAGAACATATAGCTTGTGCTTATTCTGTAGGCTATAATGGGGTAGCCCAGAAGGGGTACAACCCAATTAGGGTTAGTACTTGTACTCAGTTCATTCATAGTCCATTTCATTCTCGTTTCTTCTCATGGTTTCAGAGCAGGTTCCCTAGTGGGAACGCTACCTAGGGCCCACCACGATTTTTTTTTTCTGCCCGGAGCGCGCCTTAGACTAGACCGAGTCGCGCGCGCCCCGTGTGCCCTCCCTACCGTCGCGCCGCCCTTTGTGGCCCCTTGCGCTGCCCGTCGACCCCACGCGCCGCCCTAGCGGCCCCTCCTTGCGCCACCCGTCGACCTCGCGCGCCGCCTTAGCGGCTCCCTACGCCGCCCGTCGACCCCGCGCGCTGCCCTAGTGGCGCCTTACGCCACCCGTCGACCCCGCGCGCCGCCCTTGCGGCCTCGCCGCCCTTACCTGCGGCCCCGCCACCCTCACCTGCGGTCCCCGCCGCCCTTACCTGCGGTCCCCGCCGCCCTCAACTGCGGCCTCGCCGCCCTTACCTGCGGCCTCACCGCCCTCACTTGCGGTCCCAGCCACCCTCAACTGCGGCCTCGCCGCCCTTACCTGCGGCCTCGCGCCCTCACCTACGGTCCCCGCCGCCCTCAACTGCGGCCTCGCCCCCCCTTACCTGCGGCCCAGCCGCCTTCCCTGCGGCCCCGTCACCTGCTGCAGCCCCGCCCGCCACCTGAGCCGCCCGGGCCGCCTCACCTCACCGAGCAGCAGACCGCCGCGCCGCCCTGCAGCAGCACGGCCGAGCCGCCCAGCGGCTGAGCAGCCGAGCAGCCGAGCCGCCCAGCAACCAAGCAGCCGAGCCGCCCAGCAGCCGAGCCGCCCTGCAGTCGAGCCGCCCAGCAGCCGAGCCGCCCTGCAGCCGAGCCGCCCTGCAGCCGAGCCGCCCAGCAGCCGAGCCGCCCTGCAGCCGAGCCGCCCAGCAGCCGAGCCGCCGTGCAGCCGAGCAGCCGAGCCGCCGAGCCGCCCTACCTTCGAGCCGCCCGAGCAGCCCCGTCCGGTGAGCACAGTGCCTCTTTTCCTGCACTGCCCTCTCCCTACTGCTGCACTGCTAGTCTCCTCTGGTCATGGCTACCCCTAGTGTCCTCGCTTTTGACGCTGAGGGTCGAGCCATTGACTTTGACGTCTGGGTAGATGACTTGCAGCTGTTTTTACAGTGTGATAGGGCAGACGGTCTCTCACTCTTTGACCTCACCTCTGGCGCCTCTCCTGCCC